AATCTTCTACCTTCAGGTCAGGTTAAAATCTCTCCAAGGCAGAAGACAGAAGGCATATCTGCTGCCATACTTTCCTTGGACCTGAAGGAAGAATCACTACTATGAAATTTGCATGTAAATTTAAAATGTTTACAACTACAACACCCAAGCAATGCAAAACAAAACAGTTTTATGGTAAATATCTAGAAAGACAGACTTAAAACTTCATATACTTTTCATTTGTTAACATTATCAAACTTGAAGAAAATCAGACTTCTTGAAAACTTCAAATAAGTCTGATAAGGTTTTGGTTTGATTATGGTGCCAAGACCCTTGTCAAATTCTCAATTAAATCTCCTCCTCCCACGTCACTTCCAATACTATCCAGGGATCACAGACAACACAAAATAAAGACATACAATACACAGAGTATACTGGAATGAATTTCACATTGCTTAGAAATCAATAAATGTTAAGGAAAAAGAAATTGTACATAAGTAATAGCTTCAGATTCATTTGCTAAATTTACCCTTATATAAACAGGGTCCACTAGTCCTAAACTGTGACCAGACCCAATTGTGTCTGGTCTGACTTACATCCTGAATGGCAATTAAAGGACATTAAAAATACCCTGGGATTACTTCGGGAAGGACCCCTGCCTTATCCATATACTTTCCAGCATAACCATGTGAAGAGAACACAGGTTCCCCCTCCACACAGGATAGAGCCTGGCAAGAGCAGCTGGTGTAATGGTTACTTGATTGGATATTACAACGCAATTAAAATTTGGCCTAGAGGTTTGGGGAAAAAGGAATTGCAAACTGCAAAAGTAAATTTTTAGAAATAAAGTAGGTTGTTAGCAATAAGAATTATTACTAACAATAAATAATGATAGGAATAATAAAAGATACTATAAAGTGAACACCTTGCCTTCTCTAACACATTCTTCTGTAATTTTTTAGGAGACAAACTGTTGGAGCTGTCTCAACCATGTTATCTTGGGCAGTGAGTCAGCAGTCGTCTTTGAATGTGTTAAGAACTTAACACCTTATATATGAATTCTTGTCTATGACAACTGTTGTAAGGCAGTCTTAGGCATGCCAAAGAATGTAAAAAGATTTTTATGGGCACCTCTTCTTCAGGACTAATTCCAAAGAAACCCTTGGAATTTATTTACCAAACATTTCTGGACTACTTGTGCAATCTGTAGAAAATCCCAGGCTAAAGATATTCTCCAGAGACAGAAAGGATACTTTATGGATATAGAGTGATAAGTAAAATTATGGGGAAATGTAAATGGCTAACATAACTGACCCAATTCTGTGTACTGGTACTGATCAATCTTAACTCGTTTCTAAGGAAATAGATTTGTCCATCAAATAAAGTAAGGTATACTTTAATTATGAGTGTTACTAAAGTTTTAAATAACAAGTCAGACCAAGGAAAGTCTTATTTTATATTTTTCAAGATAGTGTAATTCAAGCCTTTCATATAAGTCAATGCACAATGTACTTTAAATTTTATAAGTAACGGCAGTTGCTAATTAAAAAGTTAAGTTTTTATTTTTATTTATTTTATTATAATAGTTATTATTTTTTTAGACTGAGTCTGTCACTGTTACCCTGGCTGGAGTACAGTGGCACGATCTCGCCTCACTGCAACCTCTGCCTCCCAGATTTAAGCATTCTCTGCCTCAGCCTCCCGAGTAGCTGGGATTATAGCACATGCCACCATACCCAGCTATTTTTTTTATTTTTAGATGGTTTTCACCATCTTGGGCAGGCTGGTCTTGAACTCCTGACATTGTGATCCACCCACCTTGACCTCCCACAGTGCTGGGATTACAGCTGTGAGCCACCACGCCCGGCCTATTTATTTATTTTTTGAGACACAGTCTTGTTCGTCACCCAGGCTGGAGTGCAGTGGTGGGATCTTGGCTTACTGCAACCTCAGCCTCCCAGGTTCAAGTGATTTTCCTGCCTCAGCCTCCTGAGTAGCTGGGATTACAGGTGCAGGCCAACACGCCCAGCTACTTTTTATGTTTTTAGCACGGATGAGGTTTCACCATGTTGGCCAGGCTGGTCTTGAACTCCTGACCTCAGGTGATCCGCCCACCTCAGCCTCCCAAAGTGCTGGGATTACAGATGTGAGCCACTGCGCCTGGCCAAAATTTACTTTAAAAAACATAATAATACTATACCTCTTTAAAGACAGGAAGCCATGAATATGAATTATTTTACCAACATATTTCAAATCATTTTAAAAATATTTATCAAACAGACTTATTGAGGTATAAGTGATACACTGCACATATTTAATGTATACAATTTGGTGAGTTTGAACATATGTAAATACCCATAAAACCAAGACCACAATCAAGGTGATAAATATTTCCATCACCTACAAAAGTTTCCTCATGACCCACGTGTTGTGGTGGTGGTGGTTGCTTTGTGGTTAAGAACACTTACCCTGATATCTATCTTCTTAACAAATTTTTAATATTCAACACAGTATTGTTAACTGTAGGCACTATGTTATACAACAGAGCTCTAGAACTTGTTCATCTTGTGTAACAAAAATAAATTCCTACTGAAGAATAAAATATAAGAATAAATGCCACATGCAAAACTATTGTATAATCAAAGCACTTGTGAGAGTATCAGAAAGAAAAACCTATTCTGATAGCCCTTCCCCCTCTACACATTATAAACCAAGGCAATTTCAGTTATATGAAATTTGATAGAAGAATTTGCTTTTGGACAAAAATAGCAATGTTTCAGCCCAAAGCCAAGTAAAACTGCCAAGTTATAAACTTCTCTAAGAAAACGTTTTAATGGAAATGCCAACAGACCCTTAACTATAATAGTGCTAGGTGCCAAAACATAAATAATTTTTTGTGGTCCTTTTACCATAAATTAGATACAGATCTAGTGGAAAAACAGTAGGTAGCCAGTTCAGTAAGCAGTAAAGGCCAAGCCTGCATGGTTGATTTTAAAAACAATAATGAAGTCTATATGAAACTCATTGAGATTTACCAAGCAAGCCTAGCGCTCTAAGAGAAATTTCTTAATAGGCTTTGTGCTTATTCTAAGAATGTCTCAAACAAATTACTAAAACTTAGCCAAGTAGAGTATAAAATTTGGTTTTCTGGTAGGGAACTGTTATATAAACACATACACACAAGTTCAATTATTTAATTTTAACATTAACTTGTACCTAGAACAATACAGTTTAGCAAATCAATGAGGCTTGCCAACATGCAATGCCTGGGGCTAACTACAAGTACCACTTTAGAGTCACTTCAACTTAAGGTCTCTGGGCAAATCTACAGACGTATTAGGCAATCAGTGAGTTTATTCTTCAATTATTCAGGCACAGTTAAGTCATAATGATGCCCTAGGTGCAGACTGAACAGTATTTGGTCATTAGTCACCAACAATAGTTTTAATTTGCTGTATGTCTAGCATTCATTATAGATGAGAGCTGATCAAATTGGAACCAACACTGTGGTGGCAGATCCACTGCACACACACCATCAAAGTGCATGTATCCAAAATGGCATGACTAAACAACATTGGACGTTAAATAAGGATTACAACTTTCATAAAAATGTGATTTGCACAAGTTAATAGGGCATCATACTTAATGAGACCAGTGTCATGGGCTAATTTACATAAAGCCCAGTTCACTTTACTTTGGAAACAACAAACTGATAAACAAAGGCATGATATTAGACATATGGGCAGTCAAGTACAGGTTATTCAATTTAACAAACTCTGAGTGAAACAACTGTTAAGTCTGGTGATGCACAGATAAATGTTCCATGAACACACCAAGCTAGGTCAATGTCTCAGAGCCCTTACAGAGCAACTCCTTTCAGTGAAATGCCCTTCCCTAGACCTTTTCATTCAGACCTCTGCTTAAGTATCACTTCCCCAGAAAGGGCATTCCATCCACTCTATCCAAAAGAGCACTCTCAATACTTTCTATCTCCCAAACCCTGCCTTTTTTTTTTTCCTTCAAAGCAATTATCATTGAAATTATTTTTATGTTAACTCTATTCCTCTGTAAGCTTCAAGAGGCAAAGGACTTTGAATATCTTTAAAGCCTTAACCCTAGTGCCTTCACTGTAGGAACCAGGAAATGAGGCAAGTCCCTTGTGGTAAAGATGCTGTGAGCATAATACAGAAGATGAGATTAAAGTGTATAATAAGAAACAAGTAGATAAATCTTATAAGGACTATATAAATAATTTCAAGTACAATATATTTTGAAGAAAGAAATGCAGACCTTGATTTTTAAAGTTACATTCTCTTTCTAAAAGTACAGGCTCACCCAGACACAGTGGCTCACAACTGTAATCCCAGCACTTTGGGAGGCCAAGGCAGGAGGATCACTTGAGCCCAAGAGTTGGAGATCACTCTGGGCAACACAGCCAGACCCCGTTGCTACAAAAAAATTAAAAAATTAGCTGGGCATGGTGGTGATGTTCCAGAGGCAGAAGACTGATTGAACCCATGAGTTCAAGGATGCAGTAAGCTATGATTATATCACTGCACTCCAGCCTAGATGACAGAGATCCTGTTTAAAAAAATAAACATATATATGTATACATATGTATGTATATGTATACATATATGTGTGTGTATATATATACACACATACACATGTAAATATACACATATATATATAAACCTTGAAAGAAGTTTCCTTGGATGGTAGAGAGAGCCTGGTTCATATCTATATATATGTATATG